CCGCTGATCCTGAGTCCTATCGGTGCTGCTTCTCTATCCAAAGATGAGGTTGTTTTCTGAAGAGCCTGGAGTGTTGGTGCAAGTAAGGCTATATCGTCCACAAAGTCCAAATCTGTGAACTGCTGCAGGGGATCACGTCCGGCGATGCCCATCGCGTTCGGTCCAATTGCTCGGCGCATGACATGGTCAATGGCGATGTTGAAGAGGAATGGCGATAGGACGCAGCCTTGTCGCACACCAGTATCGATGTTAAAATATTCCGTGATGCCGTTGTCTGTTCGGACGCAACAACTAGAGTTGCGGTACAACGCTTGGAACGCGGTAACGAAGCGGTCGGGCGTAAGACTTGATGATTTTCCAGAGCGTGTCTCGATTAAGGCTATCAAAAGCCAACGAAGTTCACGCATAGCCTTTGCTGGAATTCGAGGTTCTGCTCAATAATTGATCTCAGCATGAATATTTGTTCAATGCAGGACCTTCCACTTCTAAAACCCGCCTGCTCCTCGCGTAGCCGTTCGTCCACCGTTCTCAATAGTCGCCGAAGTAATACCTTTCCGAACACCTTCCCTGGGATGGAGAGAACACACTCCATCCCACACACTGAAGAATAAAGGATGAATCAAAACTAAAAACCAAGACAACACTTTCTATACCATTGTTCTTTCTCACTTGTGAGAAAAAACTACGTATACATCTACCGTTGAGTCATGAAATGCTGTTTTCCACAGTGACAAGGAAGTATGTAGCAGATGCCAAGGATGCTGCGTACATAACCTTTCTTTTTCAATTTGGAAAGTCGAATCTGAAGCCACCCAGTCCACCACTTGAGTCAAAGTCATGTGAAACTATTAAGACTTGGCGATAAACCTTGCAAGCGTGGCAAAACAATCTCTTGAACTGCACATGCACTTTGTGCCTGCGTGCGTGCAAGGAGCCACGGCTGATGCTATTCAGATGTATTCTGAGTACTGTCAGGGGAGAAGTCGAATCCTGCCTCTCACCTTCTGCTCTCTCACCTGTTAAGCCGCCGGCAGTTGACACTGCGTTGCTGCTTCCCATCAGCCTGCAGCCATTTTTGGTGATAGATGGGAAGAGCGTGAGAGAGCAGGAAATGGCCGAGAGACAAAAGAAATGAAAAGCCGGGGGGATAAAGAAAGAGAGGAGGAGATCGAGAAATGAGAAGAGGTAATGAGAAAAATCATTAAGCTCCGAGCTTTTGTCTTTCTCCCATTGTCTCCTCCTTCAATCCTGAAGCGACTTGCCGGTCCACCCTCCAAAACTGCTTCGCTCTTTGGGGCTGGATATGTTAATGCAATCACCACAAACACTGTCTCCATCTGTCTGGCCTAAATTGAGCAGACTCACAGCTGCTCCCTGGAGTTTGGGGCTGTAAAACAAAACAGGAAGAGCTGGAACGGAGCACTTGTACCCTCTGTCTGCCTGGGCCGGCTCTCGGTACTATAAATCCACCTCCTCCCTTCTCTTTGCGACCGTCTTGGTTTATCCCTTGGTCAGTTG